ATTATTAAAAGATTTGAAATCACATTAATCAAAGCTTTTGTCTTTTAAAAAGTATCGATCCTATGGGAAAATGTTATGTCCTGTTCAAGTCGATTGTGTAGATGCGCAGCCCAATCCACCGTAAAATTCGAAAAGAGGAAAATAATAAATATATAAAACATTATAAATTAAAAAAAAAAGAATTATTATTTGTTAAAATAAATTTTAAAAATACAATTTCCAGAAAAATCGTTGCACAATTAAAGGACATTGAACCCATGGCACCACCTGTATATTATCTAAATACCGGTACATTTAAACATGAAAGCTGCTATTGACCCTAGGTCAACGCTTTGGGTTCCACAACCACAGTGAATTTTAGTATTACATTTACTAAAACCATTTATTCAGAAACGGCATGTTTTATTTATTCCATTTCATTCAAAGTTGAACCATTATACATACAGCACTCAAACATGCTAAATGCTTTACTCAGGTAAGTAGCAAACTTACCCCCCCCCCCCTTTTTCCCCCCTGGCCACATGTGGATTAGTCCCCCCCCACCCCACCCGGGTTGTTGCAAAGGTCCAACTATCACTTTAAAAAATGTGAAATCTATGATCTTTAGTTATTTTTAAATTACATTTCTTTTTTTTTTAATACGGAACAATGTTTCTTATTTTTATTGTCATACTGTTGCTTTGTGTTTACAGATATTACAATGGCTAGATATCACAACAGAAATAGTTAGCCTGGGGGCAAGTTTAAGTACTTTTAAGTTGACCGTACGTGATTCTGTGACGTGCTTGGTAACGTTATTATTTATGTTACAAATTACTACATGTCCAATAAGTCAAAGAAGTTCTATTTTGGTGCAATCAAGCTTGAATTTCTGTGTCAAAAACGTCCACCACTGAAAGCTTCACTCAACTGGGTAAATTAGTGAAAAGAATATTCGGAACAGGATAAATGTGGAGCTTGAAAAAAAAATTGAAAAAAAAGTTGAATAAACAGTTCAATCACGTGGTTCTATGTTACAAAAACAGCAATATGATTGAAAACGTTAATCCAATGCAAGATTGGGAGAAACAGGTGCAGTTTCGTTTTAATCGTAAGGCAAGGATTTATTTAAGATTAGATATAGAAGAATGGTTTCATTGTTGTTGTTATTTAAACATTCCATTCCCAGTTCATTTGTCATCTGAAGCTTTGACAAAAAAAAAAAAAAATAAGCCGTTTAGTGACGAGAAGAAAGTGGGAATTAAAAAGTTAAATTAAAACTTACCAGGACGTCGTTTTCTTTGGCAGTTGTTTACAGTGAAGATTTTGGCATTTTAAAAATATAATGTAAGGGAGAAGACTGGATAACGTTGCTTGAAAAAAAAAACTAGGGTTACGGGTCCTACTTGAATTATTCCCGTGAACGATTGAGGGAATTTAATCAAGGTGTGCCACTGCTTAGGGTCCTTAAATCTGAATAACCCGGCCCTTAAGATGTTTTTCAGCTTAGGCGACCTTCCATATTGGTGTCAGGTAATGCGGATTGAGAACCCCCTCAATAAAAACGACCAAAATGTACGGCATGATTTATTCCTTTTCTTTCTATGTATAATGTTTCACGTAGTGGTGTGTGAAATGTGTGGTGTTGGGGAACTGTGTGGGTGGGTGGGGGAGATGTGTGTTTGAGTGTGGAAAATGTGTGTGGGGGTGAATGTGTGTGCGGGGGAAATGCGTGTGCATGTTTGGTGGGGAATGGGTGTGTTGGTGGGGAAATTGTGTGTGGGGAAATGTTTGTGTGGGGGATGTGTGTGTGTGGGTGAAATGTGTGTGTGTGTGGGGAATGTGTGTTTGTGTGTAGGGAAATGTGTGTGTGTGTCTTGGGGAAAGGTGTGATGTGGGGGTAAATGTGTGTTTGAATGTGGGAAAAATGTGTGTGTGAGTGGGAAATGTGTGTGTGTGTGTGTTTTTGACAGGGGTATTGGTCGGAGAAGCGGTTCGCTGAGGGGTGGCAATTATTTCATCTGTAAGTACCAAACCTCCTAACTTCTTCTCTGGTGCTAAGTCAGGATTCTATTTTTTTTAAAATGTGTCCGTGTACGTGAAAACACGCGAACGAAGTTAACAATGTGTCCGTGAAAACACGCGAACGAAGTTAACAATGTGTCCGTGAAAACACGCGAACGAAGTTAACAATGTGTCCGTGAAAACACGCGAATGAAGTTAACAATGTGTCCGTGAAAACACGCGAACGAAGTTAACAATGTGTCCGTGAAAACACGCGAATGAAGTTAACAATGTGTCCGTGAAAACACGCGAATGAAGTTAACAATGTGTCCGTGAAAACACGCGAATGAAGTTAACAATGTGTCCGTGAAAACACGCGAATGAAGTTAACAATGTGTCCGTGAAAACACGCGAATGAAGTTAACAATGTGTCCGTGAAACCACGCGAATGAAGTTAACAATGTGTCCGTGAAAACACGCGAATGAAGTTAACAATGTGTCCGTGAAAACACGCGAACGAAGTTAACAATGTGTTCATAAAACACGCGAATGAAGTTAACAATGTGTTCATAAAACACGCGAATGAAGCTAACAATGTGTTCATAAAACACGCGAATGAAGTTATCAATGTGTTCATCGCCAGTCTGCCAGGCGTTTGTAATCTTCGAATGCCGTGTAACATTAACATATAGCTGTGTCTGAACCCCGATGCCGTCGTTGTGTGTTTGTGATACTACGCGTAAATCTACACGTAAATTAAAGAATTGGTACGACCTGCTGATACAGGAATTCGCAGACGTAGACAACTTGTCACCTGCGTCGCCGTCATTGGCTGATTTATGACACATTCGTATCACGATAAGAATATGCCACAACACGTAACTCCTGTATGGAAATAGGCAAAACCGTGTCCTGGCTTATAACGATTTGTAAGCTTTTCTTGTGCAGATCTGCGCTGACCTGTGATATTTACAAAACATTGTTGAGGTCAAAAGCATAGAAATAGCCCATTAGAATGTATCGATCCGTAATTTTTAAATAGCGTTTTTGAAAATGTGAAATGTCCACTAAGCTGTATTATCATTTACTACATTTTCTGTAAGAGAAATAATATTGTAAAAAGATCAAACGAATGGGCCAATGAAATAACTTGACATAAAATAACGTGGTCAATAATAAATTAAAATGTTCAGGATATTTTATCTGGGCAATCATAAAATGGTTTCTTGAAAAATTCTTTAGTAAGGATTACGTTTAAGTCAAACATTTTGAGATGGTTTCATCAGTCATAGTATCGAAATTTGTCGCCGATATTTGAACGGAGGAAAAAAATTGACACGGTAGTAATGGTATGTAAGCAGACAGGTGGGTGTAGGGTACTAATAAGATTACTAACAAATGGCATTATTGGAATCCGGCTAATCTTTCAATTTAATTGAATCTAGAGGAGGAGTATTGCCACAACTCCTTGATGAGCACACCCCTTTTGTCAAATTCTAGCTTTAAATAACCACGCCCCTTATGTCAAACACTGGCTTTAGATGACCTCGCCCCCTTATGTCAAATAATGGCTTTGCATGACCACGCCCCTCAAGCCAAACACTGGCTTTAGATGACCTCACCCCTTAAGTCAAGCACTGGCTTTAGATGACCTCGCCCCTTATGTCAAACACTGGCTTTAGATGACCTTGCCCTTTATGTCAAACACTGGCTTTAGATGACCTCGCCCCTTATGTCAAACACTGACTTGAGATGACCTCGCCCCCTTATGTCAAACACTGGCTTGAGATTACCTCGCCCCTTATGTCAAAAGTTGGCTTTAGAGGAGCACGTCCCTTACGCCAAACACTGGCTTTAGATGACCTTGGCCCTAATTTCACACACTGGCTTAAGATGACCTCGCCCCTTTTACAAACACTGGCATTAGATGACCTCGCCCCTTATGTCAAACACTGGCTTTAGATGACCACGCCCCTTATGTAAAACACTGGCTTTGCATGACCACGCCCTTTATGTCAAACATTGACTTTAGATTACCTCGCCCCCTTATGTCAAACATTGGCTTTAGATCACCTCGGCCCTTATGTCAAACACTGGCTTTAGAAGACCACGCCCTTTATGTCAAACACTGGCTTTAGATGACCTCACCCCCTTATGTCAAACACTGGCTTTAGATGACCTCGGCCCTTATTTCACACACTGGCTTTAGATGACCTCGGTCCTTATGTCAAACACTGGCTTTAGATGACCTCGCCCCTTATGTCAAACTGGCTTTAGATGACCTCGGCCTTTATTTCACACACTGGCTTTAGATGACCTCACCTTTTATGTCAAACACTTGCTTTAGATGACCTCGCCCCTTATGTCAAACACTGGCTTTAGATGACCTCGCCCTTTATGTCAAACACTCGCAAGGAGCTTTAGATAACCTCACGCCTTGTTTCAAACACTACGACGCCCTATGTGTCAACCACTGATTCTTGATAATCCCACACCCCTGTGTCAACCACTTGTGCCAGTGAACAAGATCCCTTTTGTCAACCACTGATCCATGATAACCCCGCCCCTAAGTCAACTACTTGTTTTAGATCGTAACATTATTTGTGTCAACCATCTGTTTGAGATAATAACACCACGTGTGTCAACCACTTGTTTTAGAAAACACCCCTTGTGTCAACCACTGATCCTTGATAAGCACACCCCCGTGTTGACCACTGATCCTTGATAAGCACACCCCTGTGTTGACCACTGATCCTTGATAAGCACACGCCTGTGTTGACCACTGATCCTTGATAAGCACACCCCTGTGTTGACCACCGATCTTAACAATGGGCCCTTTATGTCAACTATAAGTCTTAATGCAAAAGATTCAGACCATATGAAGAAAATAATGTGGGAGCTAATAGACTAAGTAAATTGTGGACGACAATTTGAGCCCAAATTTACAAATGACAATTACAGAAGATTAGCCACTTGGAGTCCAGCACAATCAGTTAAGAAATTTATCAAGACTTGTGTAATGGAAAACTATTAAAACATCTTTATTTTTTTAATTTGTCATTAAAAAATATTTAAGTAGAAAGCTTGGCAATATAAAACTATAAGTAGTAAAAGATTAAATTGATTACAGCAATACATTTCTTTATTAAGGGCGGTGTCACGAAATCTTTGCACCAAATACAATCACAGTATATTTTACAATAAAATATTGTCTCAAATGGAGACAAGACCTTTAAAATTTACACCAATTAAGTTTATAATTTAGTTTTCTAAAGTATTCTCTTTTAAGTCATTCACAAAGTTTTTGGAATGTTAACCAAACAAAAAATATACAAAGGACATAACATTTGTCATTTCACTGATCACAAATTAATTAAAGTAAATTTGTTCCCCTGGTCAATTGTTAATTTTAAACAAAAAATAAATAAACATTTCAATGGTTTTATATAACATCCAACAAGTGAGGTAACATAGAAATAAAAGCACATATAATTTCTTTTTTTTAAAGAAAGCTTTGAGTATCAAATAAGAATGAGTAGGATGATACCCTAACAAATTATGTCAGTCTCCATCTAATCCACAATGATGTACACAATTAATTAAATAATTGATGCCAATACAAAAAAAAATTCTTTAGAAGAAAAAAAAAGAATGTTAAGTTTTTCTCGAGTCATCAAAAGAAAATGTTCGTTTCTCAATCCAAAGTTGAAATTAAAGATTGGCTTCCTTGCATTCAATGCATGGAAAAGTCAGATATAATTTACTCCTTCCAAAGATGGTTGTCACTGAATAAAAACAGGTTTGAAATGTAAATAACCAAATTACAGAATCATTACAAGTCATTGCAGCAATATGAGAATGACGAAGATCTCCAAAGAATTTCTTCATAGGACAAAATTTTCTTAGGTTATAAGATTTGTGTAAATTGAAGAAATTGCAGAATCATCTGGAAAAAGATTTTTAAAAAGTTCATCTAAATACAATCCTTGCTATAATATTGGTACAAAATGATGAGATTTCCCATGGTGAAAGAGAAAAATAATATATGCATGAAGGCAAGGTCACAATGTTGACATGGGGCATCATCTTACACAGATCTATAAAGCAAGCAATGGCACTGGTTAAACTGTCAACAACAAAACTAGGGATCTAACGTGTAGTGTTTTTCTTTCTGAAGTCTAGGAATGTGTTATGAAATATTAAAACATAATGATTCATGGTAATACAACTCAATCCATAATGCAAGCTGTGAACCAGATCCCTGACTTAATTATTAAATCACTCTAAAAATAAACTCTTGACATTTCCAGAGCAATGAAATACATCCAGGATGGTGTTTGATATACTACAGTGCATGTTTACACTGTTATAAATTAAATGCAAAATAAAACTATGATAAAGATATGAACACTGAATGAGCTCTTGATAAAATTATCTTGCTACATTAAGATTGAGACTACAGTTGGGAATCGATCCCACTTTTGGAAGTTGAGGTTCAGATTGATTCGTTAACAATTTAAGTTTGCGTTCGGTTCAGTATAACTAGGGATGTAATGTAATACCATTTTTTATGGCAAACCGTATATCGGTTTTGGAAATACATTTTTTTCCCCCCAGGTTTTTACTGTAAGAACACATACTATAACAATAAAGGCAGATGACGCTTTCTATTATCTTTCATCATTTCTTTTTTCCATTGCAATGCATCATTGTTTGTGGTCCATCTTGTAGAAGCATCGTTCTAGTCAGGCATACTCCCCCCTCTCCACCAAGGCACATTTCATATCATCTTTTTTTGCTTTTAGTTTGCCAGACTGGTGGACAAGACATGAAATTGCAACCGGTGCCGGATTTATTATGTATATTATTTTATTTCACCATAAATATTCAAGTTATGCAGACTGAAAACGTAAGGCATGCGGATGATTTGGGTAACGCTGATCTAGGTATAAACCATTTTATGATTGATAAATAACTAATCGTTTCTGTTTTTTAACGATTTAAGTCGCGAACACTTATTGATGAAAAAGAGTCAGCGACAAAGTTTTGTTCAATTTGTCAGGCTTTAATATAAATAAATCCTATGTGCGAAGGTGTGTTGGTGGGGGACAGCTGGGTAGGAGATGATAAAAAAAAGATCATTTTGGTTTACAAAAAAATCATTTTGCATTTGGATTTTCTAGTTTTAATTAAAATATAAGGATTTCTGGCATAAGTTGTGACGCGCCACATTTGTAAAACATTGTCTGTTCTAATACTTTTGCAATAGGTTCTTCTGGTTGGTGATATAGAATTTCAAGTTTGGTTCTGGTTTCGTAGTCAGCAGGATTCGGTTTCTGTTCAGTGGTCTGCAGGGTTTGAGGTCCATGTGTTTGGTTCAGGTTCGTTTCGATTCCCATCTCTAATTGAGACCATAAGTGTGCATTATAAAACACATAGGTAGTATGTAACTGAAAGACAGCTTCTTAAAATTCTGATTAGGAACAAAAACATCTTTATTTATATTGCATCTGCGTTTACATATTTTACTTATGTAAGCCATCAGACCTTTGTAATTTATTAAGTCAGGAAAAAGATTTTTCAGCATAATGTGGGAATCTATCAGAACAGCAATCTAAGTCTCAAATAAATGCACATACAAAAAGTCCTTACATTAACTGGATCATACACATTATGTAGGTGTACACATAATTTTGACAATTGCATAATTAAAAGGCAATATTTGCCAAATTTTGTTTATTCATCACCAGAATGGGATTACATGACTCCTTTAAATAAATAAGTAATTAAGAAAAGATCCACTTTCATCTAGATATTATATCAAGTTCTAAATAGAGATGGAACTATTCTCTGCATAAGTAATTATGATATATTTGTAAATGTTTACTACAAAACAATGTAACAATAATACAAGCATAACATTGGATTGAACAAAACTTTGTACGTTTGTTTGAGGAAGTTTCAACCTCAAACAAACCTCTAGTTGTCCTCCACTGCATCCCTCCTCAAAAGCAGTGGACCTACGTTGTCCCTGGCTTCAGCATTGTGTTGGTTGTGTGATCCGTCACATAATGGAAACTGACAAAGATTACATATAAACTAATATATTCTAATGGTACACATTATAATTTTTTAATATATAAAATTATCTGACTATAAATAAGGCTAATTTGTTTGAATATAGGCATATTTTAAAAAATTATATATTCCATATAAATTAATATATCTAATGCCACACATTACGATTTTTTAATATAATTACAATGCTAACTTGTATGAATATAGGCATATTTTAAAAAAGTATATATTCCATGTACGGTATATAACATTAGGGATATGATTTTAAAGAGTTTGCAAAATTTGCAAGAAAATTAAATGTATTGGGAATTGAAAAAAAAAAAAATCACTTCATTAATTCTAAACAATTTCTCTTCTTAGTTGAAATCAATGGCAAGAAGTAAGTGCTTGTTCTATGTTTATTTTGTCTGTGTCTATCAGTTTAGAAGGATAATTTTTCAGCTGAGGACTTTCTGCCTGTAAACATTATTTTTTTTTAAATTAAAGAATTTTTAAAACAAATGAAAGAGTAGAGGTAAAAACGCACCTTCTTTGACCTCCAGCATCGACAGAATGCAATCTTGTCACCAAGATCTTCAATATCAAACTGAGTGACAACCTTAGTATCTTCCTTCTGGATGGTATAATTGACCTGCACAAAGGTACACAGATATAATCAATTGTTAACAGAACTATTTTGAACAGTGTAGACTATAATATGCAGTTAAAAATTGATACATTTTTTTTGTCACTAATAAAAAGTATAGTTATAGCTATGTCCAAACAGATGTATTATTCATATATTCATTGTTAATAAAATGTAACATAAATTTCAACACAAAAAATGCAAAAAATAAAAGTGTAAATCAAATAATTTCATTTCAATTTTAATAAAGCATGTCGATAAATAATAAATTTATTTCCTCTTCTTGACATTAAATTTAAAAAAAAAAAAAAATATTCAAGTTGTTAGCTTACAACATTTACAGGGTTTGGCAATATAGCATTTTTTAAATGTATATATAGGCAACAATGAATGAATGGACATACAAATACAAAGGAGTACCTTAGTGCAGACACAGACTACACAAACACTAATTGGTAATTATATTATAAGAGTTTTGGTCACAAATGTAGAGAGATGAAAAATAGTGACATTCTTGTTGCATGTTGCTAACTAAAGGCTTTAAAACCTATCCATTTTGATTTACATTATTATCAAGTTGTAACAATTTAAATTTAACATATTTTTCTACAATTTTAATTTTTCTCTTTTTTTCATAACAAAAAAGAAAACATCAACATGTGCTACACTTTTTTACTCCTAAACTACATATAATAAATGTTAAGAATTATATAATCATACCTTTGGTTTAGGAATCTTTTTTCTACGATTACACAAAGTTTGAAATAGTGCATAGACAAATATAATTGAAGTCAGAAAAACGGGACTTAAGTTGAGCCAATCTTCACCTGTGAAATAATTTTAAAAGGTTAACTTATTAACATCAAAACCAAAGCCTGAATTTAGTAACTTAAATATTTATTGCAATTATTTATCGGACTCCAATGTGATTTTTTTTCATTTTAAAATATTTAAAAAATATTCAACATTAAGGTACTTAAAGCAATTAATTATTTTAAATGTTAATTTTTATTTTAAAAATGGTGACACTTTAATATCTGCATAAAAGCTCAATATGATTTTTATTTTGTTGTAGGTAAATTCATCCACTAATCTTTACTGATAGAATAAAAAGTTATTTTTAAAAAAACAGTGGACTACTAGGCTATGTCATCTACTTAGGGGCCATCCTTAAATGACAATTTTTTGGACCCACTGTCCAAAGGCTAAGCCATATGGGTTGTATCTGAAATGTATATTTTGTATCAGTAATAGCCAATATACCTGGCTTTTCTTGGGTTTGTATTTGAAAAAAAATAAAAAAATCGCATACATTGTTATGAGAGAACACGTAGTCAAAAACGCTTCATTAAAGTAACTAATAAAATTAAAATTTGCTCTTTTAAAAGGCCAGATTCTTGTCAACATTTGAATTTAGGGCCCACCCAGTTTCAGTTAATATTCCTGAAATCAGAGTGCCTGCCATTGTACATTTGCAATGCAGGGTGGTTGACTGGCATTCCGACAAGGTTATCTAAACTAATTAATTTGTTGTTCAGCATACACTGGCTGATTGGGATGGCACCAACCATTTGGTTAATTTCCTGGTTCCAAACGTGTTTTCCGTTTTTGTTTTGCCAGCTGCTGCATTTAACATCTCATCTTGCAGGTGACTATTTTAATTATTGAGAACCCAGGCTTGATACTAATCCTACTGTGTGATTATCAGATTTCAGTAGTAAAATTGAGAGAGAAATTTATTTTGTCTGGTATTTAAATAATTTAATTAAAAAGATGTAATCTTGTATGGACTGAAAGTGTTGCATTTTTACAAATAATGCACCAACCCACATTTTTTAATACTTGCTTTTTGAGGCTAAATCTCAAACTTGTGACTCTCACTTCCCAACACATACATATTATAAGAGACAAAAAAAATTAAAAACAGAACTCCTAAGTTGGTATACCCCTAAGCATGCCAAAGCACCCTTTAAGCAAGCCACTGAACTATGTCATACTTGTAATAAACTGCACCCACCATATACAATTCCATTAACTGTAGTTTATTAAAATTCAATGAACTGCAGTTTATTAAAATGGTACAATGTTTATTTCCATTTATTAAAAGAATATGGTTGCATTAAGCAGCGAATCTTTGCTTGGGTTTATTTTTGGGGGAAAAAACCTTCCGTAGTCTAAAATGTTATAAGCGTACACATAAATTTAGGGACCTGTCAAAAACAATTTGCAAAATACCAATTAAAAAATTTCTTCTATAAAAAGCAAGATTTAAACTAACACTTGAAAACATTGATTTTTGGGCCCAGCTCCTTTCAGTTAATATTCAAGCTGGATTTAAAGATCAAATCTAACTTTTAAAAGATGTTTAAAAAAAAAAAAATTAACCAATGCCAAAGCCCTGGCCGTTAATCAATTTAAATGAAATAGGATCCTCAATCAAAAGAGGCCATTATAGTTAACCCTAAAATAAGGGGAAATACAAATCATTTAGACAAATATTCAAGTTAATTTTTCCAATGTATCCCATTAAAATCAGAAGCAATTTGCAAATATGTTGCTTTTTAAACTTTTATGATTTTGGCCCCCAGTGCCAAAAGAACTTAATATTTAATATTTTACAGCAGAGAGTATTTTTTGTTGGATAACAAACAAACTTTATTTTAAAAATTGCCCCATTAAAATTGGTTAAAAAATGTGAAAGATAAATAGTTTAATTAAAATAAATTTGGGCATCACACTGTAGGTAATTTATTATTTTACAAGGGATTATGAAATGTATGTTTACTAAGTTTGGTCGAGATGCAACAATTTATTTAGAAGCTAACATTTTAACATAAGGCTTCTTGTATGTCTTTGGCTATTATTAGGAAAATACCTTTAAGAAGCAACATTTTAAAAGGAATCATGAAAAATATTTTTACCAAGTTTAGTCTAAATGCAACAATTTGCATAGGAGCTTTCATTGTACCCTAAACCTTTGTATAGGCCTTTAGCTTTGGTTATTATAACGAAAATACATTGTAGAACCTACACTCATTCAGATGTTAAAATTTGAGGAAATCCATAGAGTCTTACAGAAACATATTATGACAACTTTAACACTACTTAGTAATTATCTTATGTCAAGCAAAAAATCTCTAGACCAACTTATTGCATTTGAATTCAAGAAGCTTATACTGAATGTAAAACATGGAAATAATTTAATTTAAAATGTGAAATCTACTACGGCCTTAAATTGTTCCGTTTCTAACTAATGATGCCTTTGAGACATTGCTATCTTAATAAAACTCACCCAACCATTCAGGGACATAGTGTTAATTAATGCTGATTTAGGGTTAAATCACAAACGTACAAATCGCCTTTCCACCCAAGTAGCTACAGTAGAGCCCGGTTATGTCGCCGGCCAAGGGGTTTGCCAAAAAGAATCGAGATAAACGATGATCGAGATAAACTAAAATCCAATATGGCAGCGATATATAAACATATTCTTGAAATTTCTTTATGTACATGATGTGCGTTAAGAAATAAGAATGATTCTAAAACACAAAATTAAGCCTAAATTTTAGGTTATACCTAATTTAATAATTTAAGTCAATAAAAATTAATAGGCTATAGGGCCTAAGCCTAATATGTTTTAGGCCTAGACTAGTTCTAGGTTACTTTATATAAGACTGACTGACGAGACTGTATCCTGTATATGATTGGAATATTAATATTATAAATACTTCATTTGTGAAGTACTCATTTTAGTCTTCAAGTTAGAACAATTTGTTTCGGCCCTTCTTTCTATTAACAAATGTTATGAAAATGTAAGTTATATTTAAAAAATAGGTCTGTTATATTTAAAAAATAGGTCTATTATATTAGGTACTTCACTAAGCAGCGCGCCCCGTTAGATTTTTTGAAATCGAGAAACAGACCATAAACCCGTGACCGGTGAATGCTGGTAGGTCACGGGGTGATATGGAGATCTAGTTTCCTTTGTCTTCATAAAGGAGTGACAATGAGCTTATTATAGTCTGTGCAATGAGAAGGGTGATCATTACAACATGAATGTTTTCATCAGACTCAAAGCGCTTGCAGCAGATATCTTTCATTGGGAAATAAATAATTATTTTTATTATGCAAAAATTGTTTATTTCTTGTTTGCTATTTCTTCTTGCAGGGTTCAAAAGCCGACAAATGGTCATGGGGATCGAGATAACCGACGTTCAGTAGCAAATTCGGCCCCTTTTTGAGCTTGATATATTAGGGACATTAAAGAATCAACATAACCGATGAGAAAATGCTAAGACAAAGAGAGAATTTGGTGGTTCCATTTCAAAAACGCCAATAGCGTTGACGAGTTAACCGAGGTCGAGATAAGTGGGTTGGACTGTATTATACAAAGCTTTGGTAATAAAAATACATAAAAATAAATAAAAGAGCGTTCATGATAGTAAAGCTCTTGGTACCCCAAAACACTGTTTATGCACAACCCTGAACTATGTGATAATTCTTTTGTACTATTTTAAAAAAACACATAAAATAAAGCTTTATTAAATTATGTTTGTACCAAGCAAAAGCGCACCAAAAACATTCCTGTAATAGATTTTGAAAGCCTACTGTTCAGTATAAGGGCTCATTAAAAACATGTACACCAAAAATAACTTTACTTGAATTTCCTTCAAAGCTCTTGATTTCTTTATATTTTTAAAAATCTTTACCCTCCACATTTTAAGATTTCTTTTAATTACAGCTTTGGGATAAGGGGATTATGACCTAACTTTCGAGGAACTATCTATAGGTCAGGAGGAATGACCATGTCAAATTTGGTAGCGATCCATTGTTTGGTTTTCTTGTGATTGATCAACCCATCGACAAACAAACATAGACTTAGTCACACTAACTCTGTGACTGAGCTTTATATAGCAGAAGCAGATTAGACTATTGTGCATATTGTAACTATACTATTAGCATTGTTAATTGGTAATTGAATCATATGACATGATACGCCACACCCTTCTCTAAGGCAAGCTGATTAATAATGTAGCTGTCAACAGTCAGCATCATCACACTCTGGCAGACCCACTTATTGATCAATTTCTATTTTTATAACCTTCACAATGTTGATGAATCCTGGGTAGCAGGCCTACTAGTAGTAGCTAAGCCATGCCTTATATTTATTTAATCTTGATAGTAAGAGTCCTTCATAATTATTTCCATATTATAACCTCTGGCTCTGGTTAGGCTAACACTTATCATGACTATGTCAACATGTTAACTATGTCATTTTGAGGTAATTTGCATATTATTTTAAAATATTTCAGAGTCAGAGCATGAAATTATGGATTAAAAAACAAACACCTAACCAACTAACACTATTATCAGAGCAGAAAGTGTGACTTTGGAAGCCCCCCCCCCCCCCCCCACACTTTTCGGTTAGACTAAGACTAACTTAGTTAACTTAGTTAACTTAGTTGTTGATAGTTTTCCTCTTTTTTTTCCACATCAAAACTTTTGAGCCCCTGAAATTTTTTAGGTCTACTGCACCCACATGAAGGCTTATTATCATTATGCTATGAATCTATTGACTCAGAGTATGAAATATTGATTTTTTAAATTTTGATTTTTAAGTGGAACAACCGAATTTGTATAATTTATAATTGGGTGACTGGGTGGCCAAATGGTCTAAACTGAGCAAAACCTCAAGTTGGTGGTCTGGTGTTCAAGTCCAGCCAAAGCAAAAACATCACCCCGGGTGGATGAGACTCGTTAACCTTGGTCGGCAACTCATCTAAGAGAAGGAAACTCTGAATTCAAACCCTGAGTTGGAGTCCCGTAAGGCGCAAACAATGACACATTCCTGCAACGGAACCCATCCCTGGTCGTCTTGATGTAGAGTCTTGCCACTGGATATGGTGGGCTCGGACGAGAGCGTGAGGTAGACGCCACGCAACTCTTCTTCACTCTAAACAAAGTCACCCGCGCAAGTCATCAGTCACCAGACGACTCGATGGTCCCCGTCGGTCCTCGACGGACGAACAATATATATATATAATTTATATATATATAATTTATAATTATAATTTATACATAGTTGGTGGTCTGTAGTTCCATTCCAGCCAACGCCCAGTCAAGCAAAAATATCATCAGCTTCCCGGGTGGATGGGACTCGTTAACCTTGGATGGCAACTCATCTAAGAGAAGGAAACTTCAATTTTCAAAACCCGGAGATGGTACAATGAAACATTCCAACATCTCCTGCGACGCCACTGGTGCCAAGCTGTATCATCCACAAGATGTTCCCTTGGGTTATCCAGCGGGGTGATTTGCTGTTTGGCACCAGCTTATAATCCTAGAATTAGTAGATTAATCCCAGGCTTTTGTGACCTTGTGGATTTCGTCCTGCGAAGTCTTCACCATCGTCACATTGTGACGGACAGCAGAAAAAAAAAATATATATAACTTATAACTTTAATAACTTACAACTCTTGCCTTACTGATGACTACATATAGTAGTACTTGCTTACTGTAAGTGACACTACCGCACTAATAAAAGATAATTTAGATGACACAAGTTTGTCGGCGGCCGAATTCGTGCATTGACACAAATTAGCCTATTATAATTAGAGAACAAATTGCTTACCGGATAAACTTGCATACCCTGCTGCTGTTTTTGGAATAGGTAGACTTCTTAAATATTTGGGCAGAAAAACCCTGAATAAGTTATGGATGGAATCCATCTCCTCTCGTGCTAGTTTATTTATTTGTGCAAATTATCCTTTACTTCCAGCATCACGTCCCTTGATACTAATTTTAGATCAGAGATTATTAGTTATGAGTTATGATATGAGTGCTGGGCGCCATTTCCAAGGGGGACGACAAAACCAATACATTTTGTTTGCAGAGATTGCTTCCTTTAAATAACAATAATTATAATTCAAAATTATTAATATTTTTAATAACCTTTTTTTTGCGTTGAATTAGCCGCAGTAGATGTTTGTGGTGAATTTTATTTGCACAGAATTTGAAACGAATTTACTCAATTTAATTTGTTTTCTTGTTTCTTTTAATTTCTAGAAAGTTAATTAATTTAAGACGAATAAGGCTACTACCATTGTCTAACAGAATCATTTTCATATTTATGTATTTTATAACAACATATTTTATCTGGGGGAGGGAAGTATGTGTGCGAGGGCAATGTTTTGAAATCGACAGGAGTATAATAATGTAGCAAATTTTACTTTTCATTCGCCACATCTTTTGGCTATTTTGGAAAAAGGTTGCCCACCTTGGTCTTGGAATGGTTATGATTATTCGATTAGGAATAATACGTTTCATAAAGTTCAGACTTCAAGTAAATTAACACTCAACACAATGTTCTCACGTATGAGAAAAGTTATATTTCTCACCCTGAGCAGAAAAGACGTTAAAATTTGTGCACCAATACAATATGTATCCGAAACTGTCATTACCAACCTAACCGTAGAGCAATATCATGATTTTCTAAAACATATGTTATGTTTGTATAGCTCATTTGAGGAAAAAAACTAACGATCTTCCCACCAAGACATTTACCATGCTTCGAGATGCGTTCCTTCTACTCTACACAATCTTAGGAACTTAACTATAAAAAAAATAAAATAAAATAATCACAAATCCTTGATAAGTTCAGACATCTCACCACGTATGACACACAACATCAAAGTACTACAATAAGGATGGTGACAATGTATCTGCTACCTTTACCTTTGGGGCTGATCTACTTGAGGAAGTTAATCTTACACTGCAGACTAAAGGCTTTACTCTTGACAAAGTGGTGACCAATCTAGAGGCCTTAAGATTGCTTCTGCATTTGGTAGAATATTTGATTGAAAAATCACTTTTAAAATCACACCAATAAGGAATTTCGGTAGAGAGAAGATTAAGATTTAAGAAGATAATGGCAGAAGACTATTTAATAGATGCTAGGCTGGACTCACTGCGAGGAGAAAACACTAAGGGTATGATGGGGTGTATTGTTCGCTTTCATTCGGAACTTCAGATCATCAGTGGTCAAGGAAGTAGCAGATATGTTTAGAGCTGTTTAACCCAAGAGTCCTGTCAGCATGTCAAGAAAAGTTAATGGTGTCCGTTCCATTTTAAATATTAACCTCTTTCTATGATGCGTTATCAGAAGATTGGTTTTTAAAAGAAATACCAAGGCTTAGATGACACCTAAAGGCAGCTGATACTGAATTTTACAAATTAGTGAAATGGTCAGTATATGATGCTTTGAAATTCATAGCTGAATGGGACTTCCTAGAATCTCTTCCAATACTCTCGATAAGCCTTGAAATGTTTCTTGTGATCTGTATGTCTGTGGCTTCATGTGAGAGGAGCTTTTGAAAACTAAGGCTTATCAAGAACTATTTACGATTCACCATGGGAAAGTCAAGGCTTTTTGACATGGCTCTACCATCAATGTAAAGTGATACGATGAAGGATATTGATTTTGGTCAAGTGATTAACAGGTTTGCAGCCTTTGAAGACCATGAAAGGAACATTTAAATAAATAAATTTAATGTAAAAATAATTATAACTTAACGTTGTTACTAGTCTCAAATACACTTACCCCATGCTGTCAATTAATTTGTTTTTATTCTTGTCATGTTTATACTGTGGATTTATTTTAATAAGAATAAATCCATCGTGGAAGCCAAGGGAGGTGGGGGGTGACACCATGAGTTTACCGCACCGGGTGACACCAACCCTAGCTACGCCACTGGTACGCATATCAACTCGTGAGTCTGGTGATACGTTTTAAAAGTGGACTAGCAGCGGCTAAAATAATGGGTTTGGAAGTTAAAGAGTGGGTTGGTGGGCGTAAAAATTAATCTTGCCCCCCCCCCCCCCCTTGAGTCTGGTGATACGTTTTAAAAGTGGACTAGCAGCGGCTAAAAAAATGGGTTTGGAAGTTAAAGAGGGGGGTGGGGGGGGTAAAAATTAATCTTGCCCCCCCCCCCCCCCAGGAAGGGCGAACCTTGACTAAATACCACTCACGATGATTTTCCGAACGCCGCATGTACTAAACTTTGGTTATCCGAACTGCTCTTGTTTTTTTTTACTTAATAATGTATTTCCTTAGGCTTAAGCAATACCCAGGGCATCATACATATATCATTTACGTACACGCACCGGAAAGCGGGAAAGCGTTTCCGGCCTTATACATGCGGTAACTAAACTGGGATACAGACCTGTTTGCCCCGGACACGCATAGCCGCTATTCTGACCCGGGTCCCTCAGACCCAATGCTATTCGTATGTCATATGTGGTGATTTCTTTTAGTTGAACTGAATTAGTAAGTATATTATAAAATTTAATTTAATTTTGGTATGTAGGCCTAAGTGGTTTATAATTTATAAACAAACTGAAATATTTGGTACTTGAAATGTTATCCTATCAAAATGCATATACAGCATTTTGTCGCTATGACTAAGTAATATTTGGTTACACAGCATTTGAAACAAAATAAAAAATTAAACCAAGTAAATAAATACATTTTAATTAACCCACATTTCAATTTTCATCATAATCTAACTTATATTTTGAATATACAGTGGTACCTCGGTATACGTCCGCTTTGAAATAAGTCCAACTTGGTATACGTCCTGTTTGGACGAGAAACATTTTGCCTGATTTAAGACCTTCGTTTGGAATACGACCCGCTGGTCCATGCGCTGATTGAGAGGAGTCGTAGTAGAGGGTAAGAACTTTACAGTGATGAAGTCGAACTCCGGCGGGATATAGTCCTGCAAGCTTGGAGGCTGAGCTGGAGCATTGTCCATTATGAGGAGAGCCTTCAGAGGTAGGCTTTTATGCTCTAAATAACTTTTTACTCTTGGCCCAAACACAACATGAAACCAGACGCTGAAATATTCTCTGGTTACGGAAACCTGGCCGTTTGATCTCCACATCACAGGTAACTGAGTTTTCTGTTTCTGAAAGGCCTTCGGGGTTTCAGAGTGGAAGATCAGTAGAGGCTTCAGTTTGCAATCTTCACTTGCTTTGCCTCAGAACAAGAGAGTTAGCCTGTCCTTCATTCGTTTGTGCCCTGGTCAGTAGAGGCTTCAGTTTGCAATCTTCACTTGCTTTGCCTTAGAACAAGAGAGTTAGCCTGTCCTTCATTGGTTTGTGCCCTGGTCAGTAGAGGCTTCAGTTTGCAATCCCCACTTGCATTGCATCAGAACAAGAGAGTTAGCCTGTCCTTCATTGGTTTGTGCCCTGGTCAGTAGAGGCTTCAGTTTGCAATCCCCACTTGCATTGTATCAGAACAAGAGAATTAGCCTGTCCTTCATTGGTCTATGCCCTGGCCAGTAGAGACTTCAGTTTGCAATCTTCACTTGCATTGCATAAGGACAAGAGAGTTAGCCTGTCCTTCATTGGTTTGTGCCCTGGTCAGTAGAGGCTTCAGTTTGCAATCCCCACTTGCATTGCATCAGAACAAGAGAGTTAGCCTGTCCTTCATTCGTTTGTGCCCTGGCCAGTAGAGGCTTCAGTTTGCAATCCCCTCTTGCATTGCATCAGAACAAGAGAGTTGGCCTGTCCTTCATTGGTCTGTGCCCTGGCAATGCCTTCTCCTCTTTTGTAATTTAGGTCCTTAGGTCAGTTAAAAACTTGTTGAGGAACATTTATTTAACCTATGTTCTTTTTATTTATGTATTTTAATATTAAGCAGCGTTTAAATTATTTTATACAATAAATGTCAATAAATGTATCATATGCAAATAAAAAAAAATTTTTTTCATGGGAATGGATTAATCATTTTCCCTTTCTTTCTTATGGGAAAAATACGTTTGGTATAAGTCCAATTGGGTATAAGTCCAAGCATCTGGAGCGGATTAAGGACGTATACTGAGGTACCACTGTATACCTAAATTAACACTTACTTTTCTGAAAATTTGAGTCATCATTGTGTAGCAGAGAAAGTTGAATATCTCAAAACTCAAAAAAAAAAGAAAGGAGAAACATCATCTTGATAATCGACTCTTCATATATTCTTTCATGCTTTTAAAAATCAAGCCTGCGTTTCAATAAAACTTGTCGATTCTCTTACAATCTAAGGACTTTGAACGAGAGTGAGAAATTTCGGTTATTAACACAGCATTGAATATTGAGAGGATCAAAACTGTTTCAATGCACTGACCTACTTCAAATGTCATACATCTTACACCTTTCAAGATTTATTGGTAGGAAACCCGTTCTCGAATTCAACACCCCCTTCAATGCTTAACTCTTTGTAACCCTATTGGATCACAATCGAACGCTTCAACACTTCACATCATCACTTTCATGAACTGTAACAATGAAATACTCTTAATAATCAACAGCAATCAATGGAAGTAAAGCAAGATACAATTGATTCGGATAGAACCCCTTTTAATCGGCTTGTTAGCTTGTAAAATAGCCAGAGAAGTACTACACGGCCCTCATCTGATTCTCTTCCCGGGGAGAGCTGATGAGACTTCGAGCGATCCCGAATATGAGTGTTTTCATAGGGAGAATCAAGAACATAGATGACATGTCTGATTACTTTGACGCAGAATCAGGAGAATGGTGGATGCAAACGCAGTAGTTTATTTAATATTTTGTAAAATGTATGCTTATTTAACTTTGCAAATTTAACTGAACTTATCTGAATTAAGATGCCGGGGGGACCAACGTTTAACCCCGAGACGGACGTCACTGAATTCCTCCTTGCGATAAATAGCTTTTATTCATTCTCATAACTGAACAATTAATAATTTGGCCAGTGTTAACTGTGTTAAATTGAAATCATCCATTAAAGATGGC